ACTTTGGTGAGTATCTTGATGGATTGTTTTATCAAAGTTTGGAGACACATCGGGATTAAGGATAAATTCTAGCAAATCTAGCTTGTACACGACGGGTATTCATGGGCAAGAATTAGAGGAAATTATTGTGTTAACCAATTTTCCCAAGGGAACTATGTCGTTTCACTATTTGGGTATTCCCTTAGCTGCCAGAAAACTAGAAATCAACTCCTATGACTCGTTCCTTAACAAATTTTCAGCTTACATTTGTGCTTGGAAAAAGTCTTCACTTTCCTATGCGGGCAGGACAAAACTTGTGAGAGTCGTTTTACAAGGCGTGGAATGTTTTTGGTTGTCCATTTTTCCTATTTCAGCCATGGACGCTTCGAGAATCATTAGTTTATAACGGGGTTTCCTTTGGGGGTCCAAAAAAATAGTTCATTGCTTGCCATTATATTTGTCTACCAAAATGTGATGGAGGACTTGGATGTAGAGATATCAAATGTCGGAACGCAGCGCTACTTACTAAAGCCCTTTGGAACATTCATGGGAAAAAGGATACTCTTTCGGTTAAATGGGTACGCCATGTCTACCTCCGAAGGCTGGATATATGGGACTACAAGGCTAAAAGAGATAATTCTCCATTATTTAAATAGCTGTTGGAAATTGGCAACCTACTAATGGAACTGCACGAGCAGCCGTGAACAGGCTGCTCGACTGGTTAACTTCGGGGAAGTTTTGTGTTGCAGCTGCTTTTGATTTTTTCAGGCCAATAGCTGTGAAAAAGGTTTGGGCTGCGGAGGTTTGGAGGTCCTACATTACTCCTAGACACTCCTTCATTTTGTGGTTCGATGCCCAATCTAAGTTAATATGGACTTGTTGACACATCTTAATATTGATGGAACTTGTACTTTGTGGGTCACAAGCTGAGATATGACAACACTTATTTTTCGAATACTCATTCACTTCGTACATTTGGGACGAGATTAGAGCTTGGTTGGGAATCAAAAGATCGATGACAACATTGCTTAGTGCATTGAAATGGATTAAAAAAGAGGCTCGAAGGACATCTTGGCAAAACAAAGCCAAGAGGATTGCACTCACTAGCATTGTATACCACATATGAATGGAGAGGAATAGATTTTTGAAGATCTCAAACCACACTTCGGATAGTATTGTAAGACGAAACAAAATACACGTATACAAAGTTACGTTTGTATCCGCGTATTTTGATTCATTTTGAGTCTTTAACATTGAGTCCTTAAATCTTATCGTTTGTACATCTTTTCATTTTGTTTGCCCGAGTATGCTTGAAGTACTTGCATACGTCACTTCTTTTGTTTGCCCGAGTATGTCCAGTATTCTTATATATAAGTTTTGATCTATTTAATTTTACATTCATAGATTAAAAAAAAAAAGTAAAAATGTCTTGTTTTAAAAAGCATAGATTTCTACACTTCAACCACCCTATAAAAAAATTGTCTTTCGTAAAATGAATAGGATTTGCTAAAGTGTAAAATCCCACGAGTTAATTTCACAAACGATTACTGAACTTACGCAAAAATAACAAAACGGTCACTGAAATTCAAAACTAGCAGAAACGGTCACTAAAGTTTCATACACTTTCACAAACGGTCACTGAAGTTTAAGTTTC